TCCAAAACACCGACGATGAGCAGTCGTGATTGCTTCAGAGCGCATTGTCCAACAGGGTCAATTACAGTATCCCACGGCGAGATGGGTACATCCCCAACTGTGATCGCAATTAACACCTCTTACAGATGGTTAAGGGCTAACCTAACAACATCTATAGCACACGCAAATACCCTTGAATACACTGTACGGACATATAATGCTATCAAAAATGCTAATCGTATTGCAGCAGGACAGATTGCTGGGCAGCCAGTTTATTTCGGAGAAGGTTTCCGCTGTTTCTTCCATAATCCCTTGAGAATTGGCTTCTTCAGAAGAACTTGAAACTTGGCCAGAAGGGTGAAAATATAGGTAATATTAAGCCCACGCCCCTTCCTCCAGTCCGTATGGTACCACTTGGCCCTTTCAGGGTTCCTGCTGCTACCAGAGAATCAGGAGGCGACCTCGAGTCTTTGAGGTTGTTGCGTGAACTCCAATTGCATCATAACTACTTCCTCTTTACCTTTATAACCTTTGGTTTTCTTTTCATATTGGGCTCCGAATCCTTAATAGAGAAGGAGGACATTAACGGCCCGTTCACCGACACATTGGCCGCAATTGCACTAATTGTTCGGAGTGAGCGGGCGCACATGGCGATTTCATGCCTCGACTTCATCTATGACCATCCTCATTCACACTACAACTCCACCTTTCAGGGCGTTCCTGCTTTCTGCAATAGTTCATCGTGGCGTTTTTTTAACCGGTTATGCAGCAACAATGTGACAAGTGGGTCGTTAGGTCACAAAAATTGCATGGGCCTAAGAATTGTGAAGCGACTGATCCAGTCCACCCAATGTATTCGAGGGAATGAGCTTCACTGCAGGTTTCAAGTACTCAAAGAGTTCAGTCGAGGAGCAGGAATTGCTGCTGAACAATCAGATGAAGAAAACGAGCTCACTCAGAACCATCCAGTACTAGTTTTTGTCTTTTGTTTGAGCGCTGGCAAGCAGGTCCTACCTACTAATCATACTAACTGCTGTGCAGGAACCGTATGACCAGCTGTGCAGCCATTGTAAGTGGACACAGCCTGCTATCATCCATGAAAAACGTCAGCCTAAGCCAAAAAGTCTTGAAAAGTCATTGGGTTAGCCCTTACGCTCCCTTCAGTGCTCCATATAACTTCTGAAAGCTCCCAAATGGCATTATACTCATGAACTTACCGTAAAGTGTCTTCGACAGTATCGATTACTCGAAAATAATTAGAAAAAAAANNAAAAAAATCAATGAGTGGCAAATGATTTTATCTAAGAAATAAGGAATTAAAGCAGCGGGTGACTATAAGCGGGGGCGCCCTCATCAATTCAACCAATGCCCTAGAAATGAAGCATATCGGTCCAACGAACCTGAACTAACCATAGGGGCAAGCATCACGTGGGAACAACGTATGGAGCACACCTGCAAAGCATCTGGGATTACTATGAAGAGGGCATTTTAATAATTTGATCTCAGGCATGTGAAGTTGTTACTCAGTGGAGCAGACCCAGTTGAAGTTTCTCTCTCAGGATTCGGGAACAAATAATCGGAAAAATTTAATGAACTTGTTGCTAACGCGTGTTGGATGATTAGTGTGTTACTTGGCTAATGCCATAGGTAAACAAGTAAACACACAACAGTCCAACTGCCTTTGTAGGCCTGAATAATGGTAGTCGTTCATGCTTACAGAATTGCAAGGAATGTTCAGGAAGAAGTACTCGCCGGTGGGTCATCTCTGGACAGTCTTATAAAACCCGATTATTTAACTAACAATTCAATTTAAACAGATACAAAAAGCAAGTAAAAAACAGAGAAGCAAAAGGGCAAGGAAAAGTCCAGTCCTCTTTCGTGAATAGTTTTTGCTGCTGGAGACCAGTAAAAATTGGTTTCTGTTGAAAAAACTCTAGCAGGTAGGATTACCCCATCATGAAAGTACAATTTTTGAGCGCGGTTTTGTTAGGTTTTCAAAAAGTATCACTCTTAACACTGTATAAACAACGGTCGATGAAATAAGTCTGTGAAGTGCGGGGATGTTAAAGAAGCAACGCCCAGCAATCAAAGCTACCGGCTTGTTTGTGAAAAGGGGTACCGCCGACGTCGGCGCAATGAGTACCGGCTGGCTTCAACAAGCACTACTGATCGCTCACATGTGATACTTGACGGATGCATAACAACGAGCGAAACGTCTATCTGACTGGGATTGATCGATTTGGAGAGAAAAAATTATGAAAAGCTTGAAATTAGGCAAAACTTCCCACAAGCAGCTCGATTCAGTCTGTCATCCGATCCCTCCAGTCCCGATCGGAATCAATACATTCAAGGTTCCAAAAGGTAGCAGAATCACTTCTGAACCAGAAAGTAATCTGCAGTTTTTACAATTACTACTGTCATGCGACCATCGAAAGGGACCTGGACCACAAAAAAAGACGATATTACAAGATTCATGGAGGAGAATGAGTCGGAGATTCAAAGTCTCCAGGACCACACCGAGATTTTGTCAGGATATTCAAGGTACACAGTGAATTCCCATGGATATCAGTACACAGTACCAACGATTCCGTTCTTCTAGATTGCCCTGATATCATTTGCTGGGCCCTCCGTTGAGATGGAAGCCCTCTTTGGTCGGGACGAATTCGACTACAGGGCCTTGTATGATACAGCAGCCCCACTAGCCATTATTTCAAAAACGAGCAGTGAATAATCGGGTTGAGAAGGCTGGGTGCTCCTTTAGAGGCTACTCATGCACTTCTTACCTCTACAGGAGTAAAGCACCAAGTGACCTAAAGAGGGTGAGAACCCCCAGATGAGGTTAGCCTACACCCTGGTGAATTTCAGCTAATCTCGTATTCCGCAGCGCAATTTGACACGAGGACAGCATAAGTGTGGAAGAACTACTGAATCGGAATAATGTATCAGATGAAAGTAAGTGTTGAAACATACTTAAGCTCTAGATACCCATTGAATTCTAAGTGATACTCTCCTCCCAGTCAGCACGGCTCTGGAGTCTACACCCCATATCATCCCCCCTCGTGCCCAGCTCATTTGAAAGTGCCAGCTTGCCAGGTGCTCTTACCCTCACCCTCCGAGGCTACGGTATTGTGACGCGTGTGCGATGCGCCGAAAGCAAACCTGGCGACGACGCTAATATCCGTAATTGAAATGCCCGGCTCGCGTGTCGCTGCAATTCTATCTGACATCTACCGTATGCCTTTGAGGTGGCAGAAGTGACGACAATGAAGCAGGACGGTATCAAATTGCTTGAGGACGGGTTCGAAGTGGTCAATCAGCAAATCGGACTGGAATCAAAGTCAAAAAATTGTCTCATTAGATGAGAATGGTCTGAGGTCGTTGTGTGCGTGAAGCATATACATGTTCTTAGTTACTAATACTTCGAGTACACACATACATACATACACACACAGATAGCGAGCTCTTATCCACTCGGTACACAGACATCGACAGCACGATACAACCACTGATTAGCCACTTCATCCGATGGTGGTCGTATGTTTCGAGAATGGAGCCTTTCATTCCCCCGTTGTTCCAGTACCTCTCAGACCTGAAGGCTCTGCTAAAAGTATACACTGATATCTTGACTATAACCGAGAGTATTCTACTCTACCCTATTGAGCCTCTCAAATTCTTCAACAGGGGAGGTCTGGGGCAGACTCAGAAGCCTCTTCCCAGTTTTTCCTTCTCACTGCCATAACTCCATAGAGAGCCGGTCATCAGGGCAATTAAGATTGCTGGTACATGTAGCTTTCCATGTATGACTAAAGAACAGCGTACAACTTCTGGGATCCTGCTCACCTCAGGTTCATGGAGTTCAAGAGCTTCGGAGAACCCTGAAACCAGGCAGAATAGTTTAGGCCACACCTGATGGCTAGCCCACCTCCGAGATCACTTGAAACTCCAGGGTCATACCAAAGATTCGTTCGTTACTTCTTTCTTTCCAAAGCTATAGGAGTCCCACCTATCCTTTAAGTCAAGCGGCAACCGGGATCGGTCTAGTTTCCGAAAGGACAATACCACGAAGTATCTTAGTAACTAAGGTACTACAGGGGGCTCGAAGAGTACTGCGCTCCTCCTACATGCCGTGCACCTACTTCCACCTACCCCCCCCCCCC